GATCGGTAACATGAAAAGAATTCATGAACCAACCGCCATCCGACGAAATGTAGGACTTGGAGATGTTTAGGTCTAAATCGCTCATAACTTGAATAATTTTTTGCAGGATACCGTATCTGTTTGCCCCATGGACCTGCATTTATGTCAACAACAAAAATTAATATGCAAGAGTAAAAAATCTATAAATAATTTGTTTGAAAACATTAAAAGAAAATATTCCAATAGTAGAAGAGGAAAATACATTACCTTGATGATATTAAAATCATCACATGTGTCATTATCAACAGACACCCTACGACAAACAATCAACAATATTCAAAGTTAATTGACGAAAATAAAATACACCAACTAATTTTTTACATTAGAGAAATTTATTTTTCTATTCAAGTATTAATAATTTCATTTTTTTTTCTTACAACAAATTCAAATATACCCATCTTTAAAAAATCCAAATTAAAATTAAAATTACCCGAGGGGAGGGATGTATTCGGAAAGGGGAACGTGGTCAATGTCGAAGTAGGGGCAACCATGAGCCATTGTTGCGTCTCTGGAAATGATAACTTTTCTTTTTATTTTTCTCAATGGAGGCCTTAATATAATAAGATATATGAAATAATACTAAGTATTAATTTGAAATGAAGGAACGAAGTACATACAGTAACCAACAGAAGCGGAGAGGAAGAAGGAAGAGAAGTCTGCACGGTAACTGAGAGCTGGAACACGATTTGATTAAGATGATAACGGATCCATCGACGGAGATTATATATATATATATTCATATATTTATTTATTTAAATTGGTATTTTAAAGTTATTTATTAATTCTTTAGCCCTAATTATTTGGAGATAATTTCTTTCTTGATTACGCCTTCCTCCATTTCCTCGCCGGATTGCTTGGTTTCCGTTGTGGACTATATATATATATATATATATATATCAGAACGTATTTTTAGAAATAATTCGTGGGATTTCTTTATTTTGTTGTTTCCGAATTTGCAGCATTCCGTTTCTGGAATTAGTTCAAACCTTGTGATTCGGACTTCAAATTAATATTATTTAAAGAGGGAGATAATTTTTTTATAAATAGCCTAAAAATTATGATGAGGGTTTTATATGTAATTGAAATAAAAAAAATAACATAATCATGTAATTTAAACTGTTAAAGTAAATATCTATAGCCGAGTTTATATATGTTAACGAGCCGAATATGAACAGCACACACAAATATTTGTTGGTCATGTTCGGCTCGAAATACTTCTAATCAATTATATATATTGATCTCTAACAATCGTAATAGTTGAATACTATTATGATGTATGGTCTTATAAAATGTGGTTCCCACAGGCAATGATTCGTAATTACAATTATTTAAAAAAAAAGGTCAAAAATAAAAGACTACAAGAGTTTAATTTATCAGAATATAATAGTTGATTCAAGCATCATTTCGGCGCTATAAGTATTTTTAAAACACTACTTAATCCTTTTGGCATGCTAATATTATCCGTGATTTCAATAGTGCAGCAAACTGGTACATTTCAAAAAATTTGGGCCCTATTTTAAAGGTTTAGATAGGGTCAAAACTCTCATGCAATAGAAAATGTCTCAGCCGGTTGCCACATTATATTCCTGTTTCTTCATTTCCAGCTCATTTCAATTTGTATTAAAACTTTGTCAGAGCAAAAGCACATGCAATTTCGAAATTGCATTTTTTTTTTAATTTTGAAAGATTTGCAAACACAACTCAATTCATCTGTATTTACACATCTAACACCTAAATTTCAATTTTTACATACATACCACCACCTGCTTGAAAAGTTGAATCATTTCTAAATGGTTGATATTCTTAATGTCATATGGAAGATGTGGGTGGTATAAATGTATAAATCAAACTTCACATATTTGATGTGAAAATACATTGGAATTGTGTGGGATCCATGTAAATGCCAATCAATATCCTCAACAACA